AAAACCAATACATTCATCGCTCCGCTCAGAATCTAAAACAGTATGTGTTAGCCGCTATGTAATGGTGTAGACTATAGATTGATAGATATATCTTAAAATTAATTACTACAGATTTGAATACAAATATTTTCTTTTTACTCCTTGACCAATGTTTAATTTTGAATAATTTCTGAACGCAGAATCATTAGGATATTCTATTGTATTCGAAATAAATGATAAGCAACTGAATAAAACCACTGAAGACTGCTAAAATAATTTTCTTTATGTACTAAACGCATATAAAACTATTTGTCTTGTACTGCATCATTGAAATACCGATATTCTGCACTAATATTGCCTGTAATTTTGACATTTTATATTGATAAAAATTAAAAACTGTCGCTGAAGGTATAATGTTTACTGAATTATGTTTACCCACCTTTTCCTTTAATCCAATTCCAGTATTTACTTAATAAAAATCTAACATCCTGTGTTCTTGTATTACATTACATAAATAATATTAAACTGACTCTATTTTTTATCTGATCGACTCAGTTGGTATTTCAAATGGTAGCTGCAATCTAGGAGTATCACACATTCACACCTACCGGCGATCATTAGCAACATTTTTAAGGCACCTAATGTAGTACAAAGTACAAATTATATTCTGTTCAAAATAAGAAATCTATTCGGTGGATGCTGCAGTGACGATAATTTGCAAATGTTCACGATTTTAATGAATTATGTTAAAAAAAAATTGAACTTTTAACACTTATAATATATTATATATTATATTGTGACAGTTTATTATCGATATATTTTATTAAATGGTATATTAAAAATATTGTATTACATTTTCAAATATTTTGACCTTGCATAACTACATTTTATCAACATTTATATAATCTCTGCTGTACAGTAGGTTACAAGTGGGCAGGGGCGGACCCAGGGGGGGTTTGGGAGGTCAGCTGACCCACAGTTGTTTTCCCAGTTATATGTGGCCCCTCGAAATGGCAAACTATATAAACATTTTTTTATTTGAAAAAATTATGTACAGTGGTGAATTTAGAGGAGAGGCCCGTGCCCCTTGTCAATTTTCTGTCGACAAGTTGTTATGTAACTACGAGTATCATATAAATGAAACATTCAGTTGATAAGGATAATACTACCAACTATTAATTATTACTTATTATAATCATTATTGATAGTGTGTATGTATTATTAATTAAAATTAAAATTATACAATTTATATGTGCTCCCCCTTCAAAATATCGAAGATCTGCTATTATGATATAGGGGTATATCGTATATACAGCTGTGAAGACTGATGAGTATTGAAGTAAAATAACGCGTACGAAATCGTGTTTAAGCTTATCAACTTATAATGTACGTACCTAAAATTCCATAAACACAAGTATAAAAATATGTTGGATATAGATATTATATAAGATTTTATGAAGTTGACATAGATGAAATTGATTAGAAGTGGAATACCGTTCATTACATCTAGTTTACCAACAAATGGCAAAACTAGAGTAACTGGACCTTTAAAATTAAATGATGTATTGAAAATTCATGATACACGATACATGGTTTCTTCATATCCAAATTTATATACTTTGTATAAAATGTTGTATACACTACCAGTCAGCAGTGCAACTGCAGAAAGAAGTTTTAGTGTTCTAAAACTTCTCAAAACATGCCTTAGCTCAACTATGACTGAAGACCGGCTATCAAATTTGGTCATATTGAGCATAGAAAGCAACATAGCTCAAACCATTGATTTTGTTAACGTAATAAGTAGGTACATAATTCGCACTAATGAAAAAGCGCAGAAAATGATTGTAATGTTCTAGTTCTTTACTATTATTTTCATGTAGGTATTATTAAATATAAATTTTATTAATGTATTATTTTTGACTTTTCTATTGTATTAGAATTTAGAACCACCTATTCTATATCTCTTGTGAAAATGAAATCAGTCATTGAAAACTAAAATAAAATAAATATACTGCAAATATACGTATACAAATAAAATAATAAATTTGTATAATTTCTTCTAATGATTTAAATATGTCAGGTAAATTTTTTAATTGAATATAAATTTTAATGCAACAAATAAAAATAAATTAAATATAGCTATTAAAGCTTGTAAGTAAATTTTACAATTTACTTAAAAATATTTGATATAAATATATTGAACGTTGGTATCAAAATGTGATGTAAATAACTAATAAGGTAAATCGCGAGCCCAGAGTGACTTTGTAATACCTAACTATATAGTTGGTTGAAGTTTCTACACAGTGGCCCCTCGTAAGTAAGGCAGACCCACAGTTCTAAAATCCTGGGTACGCCACTGCAAGTGGGTCACTGTATAATGGATGATATTAAATTTGAATTCAACGATATTGACATTGTATAAGAAAAACGATTCTGAGCGGAGACGGTATGTCAGTCTAGGTATAAGACATATTATATACATATCTATGGTACTAAACAAAAATTTGACCTATAATGGGTACCTATAATAAATTCCAAATTAATCATATCACAATATTCATTAGGTACTTATAACGAGTTATACATCAACAAAAACCGTGATACTATCATAGATATGTAATAGTACACTTTAGAAGTTTCAAGTACTCACGAATAACATTATTCAATCACAACAAAATAACTAAAATAGTTATTCTAGGTTTTTAATATGTAATTTCGTCCAAATATTTGAATTTAAAATGTCTGTAAAAATAAATGTGTTCATATATTTTTTAGATTTTTTGGTTACAAAATGAAATATTTATGAGAACCTTTGTTTTAAATTTGCAATCCTTAGCTATAAAAACTGAACATTATATAATTTATTAATTACAATGATTGATAATTTTCGAGATTTTGATAAATTTTGTCAAAATTTGATCTTTAAATGCTTATAAAAAAAAACTGTGACTGTGTATTTTTAATTTTTTTCAACTGATATTGTAACAATATATCAGGAGCCTTGTATTAAATTTTTACACTTTTTGGCCCAACAGATAAAACTTTATTGATATTTATAGAAAAAAAAACTAAAAAAAATTGAAAGCTGTAAATGTCCGTAAATAGCTCAAAAAGAGTCAAAATATTTTCAAAATTGTATGGTGTATAGGAAATGATAATTTAAACATTGAGTGAAATTTTCATGTATCTACAGTTGTTCGTTTTTGAATTGCAACAAAATAAGGAAATCGCTACATGAGTAATCGAGTGAATATCCAATGTTGTAAAAATTTGAATTTCAAACGCTCATAAAAATTTAACTTGACTGTCCGGTAGAGATTTTTTTATTGATAAAGGTAGATAATCTTATAAGGAATCTTGTGTTTCATTTTCAAATCTTAGATTTAAAAAGAAAAATTTTTACGAATTCTTAACTCAAAATAATTTGCTAATTTTCGTGATTTTTCCATATTTTGTAAATTTTTGAACTTTAAATGCTTATAAAAAAAAATTGTGACTAAGGATTTTTAATATTTTTCATCTGCCTTTAAAACAACATATTAGGAGCCTTCTATTAAATTTTCAAGCTTTCGCAACCAACAAATACAATTTTATTGATATTTCTAGAAAAAAAACTAAAAAAAAATGAAAAATGAAAATGTCCCTAAACAGTTCAAAATAAATCAAAATATTTTGAAAATGTTATCGTGTATAGAAAATGCAAATATAAACAACCAGTGAAAATTTCATGTATCTACGGTCATTTGTTTTAAAGTTACACCAAAAACCAAATTCGATTTTTTGGAAAATCGATTTTGCGTAAAAATTCCCGTTTTTCCTTAATTTTTATGTTGTTTTTTCCCGGCGCTTGTGAAAACTACTGGAAAATGTTTACTTTTGACCCCCCAAAGTACCAACTAGATTCACTTTCCTATCAGAAAAGGTACTATTGAAGAAAATCGAAGCACTTTTACTGTCCCAAAACGTGATGACAGACACAAAAATATAAAAATATAAAAACACACATCATTGTAAAACCAATACATTCATCGCTCCGCTCAGAATCTAAAAGAACACTTGTAATATATCAATACTAATATTGAACATTTATAAAATAGCCAAAATTAATTGCATGCATACAAAATTCAAATGTATATAAAATGCCTTAAAATGCACACTAATAGTGTGAAATATGCAAAATAATTATTAATAATAAAAATAACAATAGTTAAAAATTATTAATAACCATTTATAACCATTTATTAATGAACTTATTATACCTATTATACATATATTTTTTTATTATTTTTAATGAGATTAATTGATATTATATTCTGGACTTTTATTAAAATTGGCTTAATTGTTTTATTATTAGTATTTGATAATAAACAAAAGTGTTACATTTTAAAATGTAGCTAGATACAAACAATATAATCAACACATACAATTGAATTATAATAAATAATAAAAAAAATATCCAAAATCTAATGTGTTATGTACCTAGTTGTTGACTTTATGCAGTTCAATAGTTGTGAAAAATGTGGACTACTAGTCCACTACAGAATTCATAGAAAAAAAATGTATTCTGCAAATTAAAACATAATTTGGAGCTTTTATATTGTAAATTCTTGTTCATAAAAAATTGAATTCTAGTTGTAAATTACTAAGTATTAAGAGCTGCAAGGAAAAAAATGTTATTAAATTCAAAAACAAAAATTACAGAAGTTTGTCAATAACATGTTTGTGATTAAATTGGAAATTTTTTTAAATGTGACTGATTTTAAATAATTTATTAAAGAAAAGATACACAATACCTACAATCTACATATTATTAAATGGTACCTAAATGTAAATATTTCAAATTTATTAGCTATTATACATAATATTATGTTTCTTATTGTAACTTATATACATTTTTAAACTCATTGAAGTAAAAGAAAAGAGCATTTTCTGCAAATGTTATCAATTTAAAGTGTATTTAGAGAATATTTGTAGGATCTATTTAGAGCATATTTTAAACTTTAAATTGTGTTGATTAATTATTACCTTATAAGAGCCAAATCCGAATGTCCCAAATTATACATAGTCAGGCCTAATTTCCAATGACCAACTGCATTCCCTGGGTTTAAAAGTACAGCACAACAGAATGCATTTCTTGCATTTTCTTGATCATCACTTTTTAAGTACAAATCTCCCATTGACATGCAAGTATCAGACGCATTTTGATAATCATTGACTTTCCGGAATGTAACAAAAAGATTTTTGTACAGGTGCTTTCCGGACTTAACTGGATACATTTAAAATATACTGCAGCTTCTTGATAATTTTTTATGTTGTAAATATATCATGGCCAGTTCTAAATTCAAATTAAAGTTTTCAGGTTGAAGTTTCAAACACTTTTTGTATATTTCAACACACAATACCATATTTTCTAGATAACAGTATGTAACAGCTAAATTTTTTAAAACTGTCACATTTTCTGGTTCTTATTGTACTGCTTTCCAAAATGCATTAGCTGCATTTTGGTACTCTGTAAGGCTGTGGGTGAGTTGCGGCCCGGCGTGTCGTTTCCGGTGTTGGAGACCGGTGAATTGCGGCCCGATAATATTTTAGCTATAGGTGAGTTGCGGCCCGAAAAATTATCATTATCTATGTACCTATTGGCTAGTAACTACATTATGTACGATGTTCCTGTCAGATGCCTATACATATAGTGATAAACGAATTGTTCGATACGTATGGCAAGTTATATAGCAATACAGCCTGCAGAAATGACCAAATTGTGAAATTCATAGACTACATTTTTGAAAACTATTGTTAAAACACTAATTAAGCGGACAAAGGCGATGAACTTAACACATCAACGTTCGGTTATTAACTGTCTTTTATTATAGAGATCCCAGTGGTAGGGACCATCTCAGGTCTATCAGTGTGTCCAACCTTCAATATTAATTTTCTTTGCTTACATAATTCCTTAACTAAACTTAATTTTTAACAATTCGGCCTTCCTGGCACTGTTGGCCGTCCCGGCCCAACATAACACATAATGTAAACATAATTATAAACATAATAAACATAAACATAATTATTATAAATATCATTAAATATCATAGTATTATAAATATACAAGTAAGTAAAAAAAAATCAACAGGGTAACAAAACATACATAGGTAATTTAGGAACATATTAATTAGTATAATCTTTTAAGTAGATAGGTCTCTTAATCTTGCGACTGGAGGTTCTTTGACTAGAATTAGTGTCCGCTGCAGATGGTACCAAAGAGTCAGATCTCACTGGCTCAGCCATCGTTGTGGTTACTGCTTGCTTTTCCGAACCGTCACTGTCCTGCCCCTCTTGGTCGGATTGTTCTGATTCACTGCCTTCTCCTTGATCCGTAGCGAAGCGCTTCAGGGCACTAATGTGTGCTGTAGTAGCATATAATTGTTTTCCTTCATGATATAGATCTGCAATTTTATAAGTGTCGCCAGCACATACAGCAGTCACTATCATTGGTCCCCGGTACTTGGGCTGCAACTTAGTTGATGTACCGGTGGACACCGGGGGTCGTCGTAGGTAGACAATTTCCCCTACACATAAAGTTTGGTTTTTACGGTGTTTGTCATGCCGTTCCTTCCACTGGGCTTGCTTTTCTGCTATGTCTTTGCGTATTTGTTGCTGGATTTCTGCTGGTTTCTGATATGCTGGAGTTAGTGTAGTGAGTGTATCTAGTAGACCATCTCGAATCACTGCATCGAATCCGTATAATGCATAGAAAGGACTAACTCCAATAGTTTGATTTATTGCAGTGTTCAGCATCAACTCTAGTTCAGCCAGATGTTTATCCCAAGTTGCTTCGGTCATCATGCTAGTTGATATTGCTGATAGCACAGTGGAGTTAGCTCGCTCTACTTGCCCATTTGCACGTGGATGTCATACAGCTACTGGGTGAATACTGGCTATGTTCTCCCTAAATATTTGGGCACAATTTACTGCTAGCTGCAACCGTACTACTAACAGCTGTGAAAGTTTTCATTCAAAACTAAATATGTCGTTCTACACTAGTCATCCTAACATTTATAACTTCGTTGATGTGTTACTAGAAGTTCAATCTGAAAAAAACATAAGATTCAGAAGTAAAAGTGTAAGAACAAAGAAAATGTGTGAAAAAGGAGCTTTCATTAGAGAGCAGATGACAAAACTCGAGCTAAAAGAAATAGATAATTTTGAATTAGTTAAATCGTTAAGTTTTAAGTTTTTGCCAAAACAATAGAATATTATTATCATTATATATTATATTCTAGAAACGCAAAATATTATTAGTTAATTTTTTTTTTATTTATATTCTTGAAATGACAAATATTAATAATATACTAGAAAATACGTAATATTAATAAATGTATATTGTGATGTTTATATACATGTACTATGTATAGACTATAGTATATATTATATATTATGTAGTATATAGATTATTGTATGGCCGCAATTCGTACGTACCTCTCATAAACCCGGGCCGCAACTCACCAACACCGCTCTGTAATTTTAAGATGAGCCATTCCCAAAATAAAAATGAACATTCATTAGATCAGGATTTATTTCTAAAACTTTTTTATATTTAGAAATTGCTTTTTCAAATTTACCGCTCTTATAATATACATCTGCTAAATTGTTTAGAGTTTCAGGACATTCTGTGGCACAGCTGTGAGCAATCTTAAATTGCTTTTTAGCCTCTTTGATTTTATTTTATTTTAATAGTAGTTTTCCGTACTCATTAAGTACTTCATATAATTCAGGTTTTATACTTAAAACATGTACATAAGCCAAATCAGCTACTATTAAGTCATTTGTTTCAAATGAAAAAACGGCCAAATCTACCCATGCTTCCACACAATAAGGTTTTAATTCACATACTTTATAAAGGTATGGTTTTGCTAAATTGTTTTCTGATTTTTTCATGTAAACTAATGCAAAGTTACTTAAAACTTCGGAACATTTGGGATTAATTTGTTTTGCTTTTTCTAAACAATTAATACATTTATCATAATTTCCACAATTGAAAAATGATTTGGCATTAACACGTTGACTGCCACGAGCCCGCCGGCGTCCTAACACGGATATGTAATAGCGGAGCCATGGTATAAATAATAGGTTATTACTGTAATGTTCATGTGTGTATATATAGAAAGGAGAGTCTAATTATAACTTTGATTACACCGTTATTATTGGAAAAATCCCAATATTACGAATTTAAAATAAAAATAGTTAGGTCGCCGGCGGTCATCTGGCGTGATAATTATGTCGTATTACTATGACGCCGGATTGGTCGCCGGCTACCATAATAAATGTATAGATAATTTCTTGTTTATATTTGTCATTAATCGTTTATCAATCACGGCACATTTAGTAGGGACACTTAGGAAAAATCGCCGTTATTTACCTAAAGAAGTTATCACAAAAAAAATTAAAAAAGGAGAAATTTTTGGGAAAGAAGACGATAACGGTATTGTAGTGTCAAAATTTAAAGATAAAAGAGATATATTTTTATTATCTACACGTCATAAATTAGATATTATAGACACGGGAAAACAATCCAGAAAAAAAGAAAGCATTTTGAAGCCTGATGTTATTTTATTTTACAATGCAGGAAAAGCTGGTATTGATTTATCAGACCAACTTGCATCTTATTCTACTCCCGTCAGAAAAAGCATCCGCTGGTATCATAAAGTTATGACTGAGATATTACTTAATACTAGTGTTATTAATGCTCAAATCATGTATAACATGAATCATTATGATTCAAAAATGAATGTAAAACAATTTCGAGAGTCGTTAATTGATAAAATGCTCAACCTAAGACCTACCAGCCGAAAATTAGCTCAACAATTGGCAGTACCTAACACACCAAAATCAACAGGAAATCAAAGAAGATCAGCAGCACCTAAACATAAAATAGAGGAAACGGAAGAGAAGTGTCCAAGAAATAGAAAACTAAGAAAACGTTGCTCAGAGTGTTATAAGAAAATATCACAAGAAAAAGGATTTAGGTAATGAGATTATTTGTTGCATCTTTTAATTTTATCATATTTATAAAATAATTAAAAACTAATAAAAATATATATATTTATGTTTAGGGAAGCATTAAATAAAACAAAAAAAGTCACTACGTTTTGCAGTACATGTCCATCACAGCCATTCATTTGTCTATCGTGTTTTTCTGATCATATTATATGATTAAATGTAATAATTTATGTACAATTAAGAATATTTTTTAAATACGATTAAAATAAAGGAATCAATTAGTTTTTTTTTTTTAAATTATTCGTTTTTTTCTCATGTACGCCATAGTGTTATTATTAAGTCATTATTTCCACGCCATCGAAAAATATCATATATTAAATACAATTAGAGGTTTGAACCGCCGGCGACCCAAGCGGCCCCTGAAGCATAATTCGGTTTAGGTCGCCGGCAACCTAAATGGCTCCACTTTAACGTATCCATGTTAGGTCGCCGGCGGGCTCGTGGCAGTCAACGTGTTAAGCAATAAAACATTTAAATCTTTCGGTTTATGTAAAAGTAATTTTTCACATATTTTTTGAGTATTAATGAAATTTCCATTTTGAAGTTCTGATTTTGCAGGTTTTAGAAGATTATCTAAAAAAATATATATATAGGTATTATATTATAAACAATTTTGAACATTAAACTCTAATTAATATTTCAGTAAATAAATTGGTATAATAACAATTAGATTCAGACAGAGTATTCTATGACAAAATCATTCTATGACAAAATATGATAGAACACAAGAAACCTCATGCTTTTTTTTCAGAATTAATGGCCACTATTAGAAAACGCCAAAAATAATGTGAGAAATTAGCTGTTTTATTGAGTTTATTGAAATTTCATTTTCATTTGACTTTTTATTAAAAAAAAAAAAAACTATTAAAAATAAGTTTTTTTGTAGTTGAACTAGTTATTTAAAATTTCAGTTTTATTTAAATAAGTCTGCAACCTTTGAATATAGAATTTCATGTATACAACAAATTATAAATTTGTAAACAAGTATGTTTAAGCAAAGATATACTTACTAGTATATTAAAAAAATGTTCAGATGGATGTTGCAATTTACATAAAAACAGAATCATTGTTAGAAAATTACAGCAAAATACGAGGAAATTAGATTTAAAATAATATATTATTGTCTTATTAACTAATATCAAACGTTTGTTATTTGTATTTGTTACATTTGTTGTAATTTGTAAAATATTATATTGTAATCGTAAGATAATTGATAACTTTTTAAGTGTAATATAGTGATTTATATACAAATAAAATGTATTTATAATATTTTGAATTACTGAAGTAGTGTTACAAAAATATGTTATTTATGATTTTGGTAGTTTTGAGTAGGTGTTTGTGTGTAGGGAATTAGTTAGATAGGTATACATAATTTTTGAATCTTTATAATTTAAGTGTAGTTGTGCCTATGCTTTTTGGTGGACAGAGAATAATTTGAGGTTAATGAATATTCAATGTAAAGCTATATTTAATTAAGTACATATTATAACTTTAATAACTTATAAGTTATAACCAATAGTAAAGTGTCAAAGAACATAATAACACGCGTGTATACAAAATGATAATGTTACCTACAATAATTTATTTTTTACATGGGTTCTTTTCTAAACATGAACAAAATAAACAATTAGGCAATATACTAATATGAGGAAACATGAAGTAGTGATGTTTTCGAAGAATTTTCGCTATTTCCAGTGTCGTCAGATGCCTTGTCGTGGTCCACGGAGCAACCGTCATTTGCTTCGTCCGACAGTCTTTTGACGTGTCCCACGACGCCACTGCAGTCCTCTTACAAACGTGACCGGATCTCGTTAACTCCCATGCCGTCGTTACCTGTTGCAGCTGTGACCTGCAGACACAAACGTATTCGGTCGTCGGACGACGGAAGTTCGATTCGGACACCAGAACAACGACCGTACTCTTCGTCAGACAAAAGGGATACGCGTCCGGCCGCGGTCATCACCGTCGCAACCGTCGCCGACCCGCTACAACGACGTAACAGCAGCAAGCTCTTCTCGGCCGTCCGCGGGTAGGATTTCGCCGAAATTTCCGAGGATTTCGATGACGACGCGTCGTAAGCCGTACGCGATTGCAGTCCAACTTTCCAATTTGCAAACCAACAAGAAGCCTTTCTGTCTTTGCATACGTGTAGGTATATATCTATTATTTAATAATTATATTTTTAATAACAACGGACGCGTGTGCAGAGGTTACGTTACCTAGGTTTTGTTACCGCCAATCACCAACCATTTCGGCAAATACTTGCGGACCCAATCTTCGTCACCGGATTTGCGTGTGTTATAATCGTTACCGCGGTGCCCGATCGGGGGGTAAACGTTGGTGTACATCTTGCCGTTTTGGTCGAACACAATCATGGGGGCTTCTTCTCGTTTGGAAAGCTGGAAGTTGGACTGCAGTCGCATTGCGTACGACGTCGTCATCGAAAGCGTCTTCTGCAATGTCTTTTCGCTCGACGGCGATGAAACCCGCAGACGTGTACCCGCGGACGGCCGAGAAGAGCTTGCTTCTGATACGTCGTTATAGCTGGTCGACGCCGGTTGCGACGATCGCTCGGTGACGACCGCTGCCGGACGCGTATCCCTTTTGTCGGACGACGAGTACGATTGTCGTTCTAGTGTCCGAATCGAATTTCGGTCGTCCGACGACCGAATACGTTTGAGTCTGCAGGTCACAGCTGCAGCAGGTAACGATGGCATGGGAGTTGACGAGATCAGGTCACGTTTGTATGAGGACTGTAGTGGTGTCGTGGGAAACGTCCAAAGACT